AAGTGTATACTTCACTTGATAGCATGCAGGAGACATGCTCAGTAGAGCGATTAATTCCTTGTCCAGTGTCTGTTTTTCTTCTTTGCAAAAAGATCTCTTTGTGCGCAATTAAAATACACTTATGGAAATCATTCAGTCCTCTGACACATGTACTTATCAATTTTGTTTACTGTCTTAGTCATCTTCAATACACTGTAAAAAAAAAATTGCTGATTCGATTTAAAATTAAGGCAGTAAACTTCAGGACATTTTTGAGTTGACTCAACTTTCAACCCAGTTACTGCACTTGACTTGATTTATGTTGAGTAAACTGAACAATGTCCTGAAGTTTGTTGCCTTAAAATTTTAAGTTGAGTAAACCTTTTTTTTTTTTTACAGTGTAGTTTGTCATTTTCTAGTTTTTCACTTGATTTCTTTCCTGACAAACAGTGTTGTTATTCACCTGATGGCCAAGTTCAATTCAATTCACGTTCATTTCTATAGCACTTTTGTAAGGCAGATTGTGTCAAAGCAGCTTAACGTAGAAATTCTAGTAAATTGAAACTGCCAGTCCAGTTTTCAGAGTTTAGGTTCAGTTTAGTTGAAAAGTTCAAGTTGTAATAACTATTTCTTTTGGACACATATATCCAGAGCTGCACACACGTCTATTGTTTTGTCATCATGAGTAGTTTGTTGTTATTCTGTCTTCTTGGTTTCTTCTCTGAATGAGAAACAGGAGTCCAATTCTGTATTCAAACTGTGTGGACAAATAGTGCAAAAACAAGACATGCATGTAAATGTATCTACTGTATTGAGATGCATTCGAAACAGTAGTAAATTAAGGTTTTAAGTATTAAACTATTTTAGTATACAACATTAATAAGATTTTAATTAAGATTTAATTCATATTAGTAGATTTTTTTATTTATTTGATATTATTATCTTTCATGTATACTTTATTAAAAAGTTTTTAAATCTCTGTTATGCTGATAATACACAGCAATTTTTTGGGCAATGTGGCCGAGATATTTTTCAAAGCGATGTTGCTTGGCTATCTTTTTCTATGAATAATGGTCAACAGTATTGTATCTGTAGCCCATTGCCCTTAGTGACCACGTTTCTCACCCAGTTGCCCATTTATGGCATCATTTTCCAAAGTTGCCCTGTGTATGATCAGCATTAGGGTTTTAAAATAATTTTTCTTAAAATAGGCTTCAATTTAACTGATGTGAAGTCACCAAAATGACAGCGTTCTAACACGTTTCTATCTGAATATAATAATAAATGACAACTGACACTGAATATTATTAAATACATAATGAAGCAAGACTACTGTAAATATAGAAGCAGAAATTAATGCAGAGAAGAGCAATTTCCAGTAAAATATCTTCACTATAGTCTATGCCGCCTTTATTTCCATCATCATGTGTGTATTTCAATGTTATTGAGTGGCAGTTATGGATGTTAGATTGTAGGATATGACAGCACCTGGAACACACTACAAAGTTTAAAGGTAGTGTCTCACTTTCATTTTTGAAAATAGTATAAATATAAAGGGAAAATAATGGACAGTATAGTTTTTCTTTATATTGATAAAAATATAAAGTGATAGTTTTCATAGAAAATAGTTGTCAATAATTGATATGGTGGCTCAGTGGTTAGTACTATTGCCTCAAAGCAAGAAGGTCACTTGTTCAAGTTCCGAATTTGCTCTGGTTTCCCCCACAGTTCAAACACATGCACTATCAGTGAATTGGGTAAGCAACATTTGCTGTATTGTCTGAGTTACACGTGTAAATGTGTGAGATTATGGATGTGTCCCAGTGCTAGGTAGGTTGTGGCTGGAAGGGAATCCATGGTGTAACATGTAAGCTGGAATAGTTGGTGGTTCATTCCACTGAGGCAATATCTGATAAATAAGGGACTAAGCCAAAAGAAGGAATGATTGATTGATATCTCTATTACTCACCCCTTGGAGAAGAGGTATCCTCAACTGAACAGAGCTGGACACTTTTTAAAGGAAAATCTCAAGACATGATTAGAAGGAAAGAAGGTGCAATTACACAGCTAAAATACACAGACATCTTAAAAAAACAAGCAAATTACCTGCTGAGAGACTATTGACAGTCTGTGTAGTTGATGGTTGAGCTCCAGAAAACTTCAGGACAACATGATTCCAAAATTGAACTGCTATTTTGTATAAATCACCATCTTTTTTTTTTTTTTTTTTTTTTTAGAACAATCTGGATTATTGTGAAACATGAACGATCACAGTATATCATTTATATTTTAAGAGCAAAAAAAAGAAGAGAAAAGTCTTCGAGAATACAAAATGTCACTACAGTGTCCAAGTGCATGACTGCGTGTTTGTGTCTTCCTAACAGAGTCTTCAGGATGATTTACTGAGCGTCTGTGACACAGGGAGCACGGTTACTGATAGAGCATGAAAATCAATTCTGGAGGAAGGAGAAGAACAGAGATGCAGAAAAAAGTCCAGGGGAGAAAAAAAGCAGATGTCAGCATGAAAGGGCCAATTGGCATGAAAAGAAATCAGACAGACATACAGCAAAATCACCTTGTGTAGGCAGCGCTTAACAGTCTGCAGATGTTTCTGCTGGTGTGTGAATATGAACTGAGGTCTGAAGGTAAAGCGATCACTGCAGGGCTGAATTGAGCCTATAGCTAAAATCAGACATAATACTAGCCAGATACCCAAGAGCTGTGGAGATCATTTTCCCTATTCACTGAAAGCTAGCATGAAATAGTGTTTTAAGGCATTTTATTTCGACGAGTTTACTCAAAAGGTCCAAGAATGGTTTGCGTTTGATTCACACTCGTAATAGATTTTAAATCCAAATATCATACATTATTATTGGTTATACTATATGGTCCCATTTTATTAATCAAAAAGCATTACAACTAAATATTAACTAAACCTTGTTATTTTCATTAGTGAGGTTAATTAGGTTAGTAGTAGATAATCTACTAACAATGACCACTAATCTGCATGTATTTACTTCAAAAGAATGTTGTGACCAGTGTTGGGGAAAGTTACTTTAGAAAGTATTGCATCACAATATTGAGTTACTCCCCTAAAAAGTGACTAGTTGCATTACTTAGTAAATTTTTATGGTAATTAATGCGTTACGAAACTTTTAAGTTATTTTTTCTGACCTGGCTGTACTTGATCTTTTTCAGAATTTGCAAGGGTGGGGGTTTGTTGTTGTTTTTAAAGAGGAGCTCCGCATTTAACAACACACTGTATAACCTTCAGTCAGTTGTATAACCCATTAAATATTTTTAATTAATTTTGATTACTTAATTCATTACTCAGAAAAGTAATATTATTACAGAACTCGCATTACTTGTAATGCATTACCCCCAACATTGTTTGACACCACTATAACTTTGTGTAAAATTTGCATTATTTTAGTGTGAAAAATTCAATTAACGTAACATTAAAAGTACATATAAAATGATTTCTTGTAAAATAAAAAATTAATTTTGTATATAAGAATTTACGCAATAAGTTACATATTGCTTTAATTAACAAATCAAGTTTTTTTTGCTGTAATGATATATAATATACATACAATATATAAATAATAAATGTATATATACATTTTGGCTTAATTGAACTTCAACAAATCAAGTCATTTTTGCTGGCCACTTTATTAGGTACATCTGTCCAACTGCTTCTAAATGCTAATTTCTAATCAGCCAATCCCATGGCAGCAACTCAATGCACTTAGGCATGTCAAGACGATCTGCTTCAATTCAAACGGAGCATCAGAATGGGGAAGAGAGTATGTGCCTTGTATCAACGATTCAGGCTGGTGGTGGTGGTGTAATGGTGTGGGGAATATTTTCTTGGAACACTTTGGGAACTTCTGGTACCAACTGAGCAATGTACCAACACTACAGCCTACCCGAGTATTATTGCTGACCATGTCCATCCCTTTATGACACAGTGTACCCATCTTCTGATGACCTCCAGCAGGATAATGCTCCATGTCATAAAGCGCGAGTCATCTCAGACTGGTTTCCTGAACATAACAATGAGTTCACTGTAATCAAATGCCCTCCACAGTCACCAGACCTCAATCCAATAGAGCTTCTTTGGCATGTGGTGGAACGGGAGATTCACATCATGGATGTGCAACCGGCAAATCTGCAGTAACTGCGTGAAGCTATCTTGTCAATATGAACCAAATTCTCTGAGAAATACTTCCAGTATCTTGTTGAATATATGCCACAAAGGATTAAGACAGTTCTGAAGGCAAAAACCCAGTACTAGTAAGGTGTATCTAATAAAGTGGCCAGTGAGTATATAAATCTTTTTTTTTTTCATTTATTTTTCATTTTGTAAAATGTAGTGTTGCACTACCATGAAACACCTCAGCTCATTAGATCCCAAGATTTGATCAAGTGTTTAGTGCTGTCACCTTATATAACTAAAGGACCACATCTCTTATCTGCAGCTCATATCCTTCTAAAATCTTACAGTCATCCACAGCTGCACAGTAATCACATACCTCAAGAATAACACAACATGTTTCATAAATGCATGTAAGATTGTGCGTGTGTGTCTGTGTGCGTTACTGACTGTCTTACATTGGGCGGTCTCTAAAGCTAATGCGGCATATTAGAAACAGCAGGAGAGAGCAAAGGCCAGGGACTACACACACATGCGCACACACATACGCACACACATGCACATGCACACACGCATAGAGCATTTGTTTTCCATTATCTGACATACAGAGAACCCTCTGTCCAAATCAATGAAGAAAAATCAGCCTGTCTATCAATCTCTCTCACGTGCAAACCAGCAAAAACATACACTAATGCTTGGATCTCTTAGACTAAACATGGATCACTGACTCCATTCCAGATGCCACAGTACAACAGCCACAGAGAGACTAACTTTAATTCTTATTTCCCTTTATTTATTTATTAATTCATACCATATATAAAAATATGCATTAAAATTTGACATATATCAAGGTTACAATGGTTAAAAAATAACTGCTATCATTTATTCTTTCTTCATTTAAAATAGAAAACTGAAGGAAATACTTGGGTTTTAATCTTTGGTTTTGCTGTGTTCCAGAAGAAATATACTGAAAATATAATGAAAGTTTTTTTTTTCCCAAATGAGACAAGATGTTCAAATTCATTAATGGTTTGTGCAAATCTAAAATCTTACAATCAGTAACTGAAAAACTGCCCATGCAGTTTCCTAATTTATTGATCACAGTAACTGCCTGAGTCAAATATTGTCACACTCAGACGTTCAGTAAGATTCTTCTGTATTTTAGTGCTTGATATTGTGAAGTTGATTGTGTTTCAATTCGGTGTTCAAGTGTCATAACAGCATTATAAGAACACAAGGAGTGTCATAAGGGCACAGCGGCCTTGTCTAATTCACATTCTCTTCTTGAAGCAGCATTTGGTCCAGTAAACTGTCTGGCTGGTGCATCACCTGTAAAATAAGGCTTCTCTTCAAGGCAGGATGAGTCAAGCTTACAACTCATGCAGTGTTTCCCAAAATGATGATGTCAAAGGTCAAGGACCTTGAACCCAGGAGACAATGATGACACTCAGACTCAGCACACCCACAACCAGACCAATCACCAACAGAAAGACCGCCTAGAAGGAAAAAAAAAAAGGTAAAAAAAATAAAATAAAAATCTGTCCGTTAGACAAGCCAGAATTTAATAATCCAATATACTGCAGTAATGTATAGTCACACTATTGTTAGTCAGGGCACTGTACATTTCCAGTCTCTGTTTTTGTAAGCACACCAGTCTCTTTTCTCTAATGGAGGAAATTTATTTTTATGTAAAATTTCTGTTATTTAAAAATCCTGTGATTAAATGGACAACATTGAAGTTCATCCACCTTTTTAACCTTTCAACCTTTTCTTTTTTTGTAATTACCATATATAGTCAGATCCATAAATATTGGGACATAGACACAATTCTAACATTTTTATCTCTATACACCAACACAATGAATTTGAAATGAAACAAATGTTTGTTTTGGGATTATTTAGTTGTTGTTTTTTTCAGCGTAATGATGCCTTGCTTGACTAGTGACAGCTCTTTGGATCTCCTCTTGAGAGTTGACAGCAACAGATTCTAAATGCAAACAAATAATACACTTGAAATGAACTCTGGACCTTTTATCTGCTTATTGTAATTGGGATAATGAGGGAATAACTCTCACCGGTCCATCATCAGCCAATTGTCCGATTACTTTTGGTCCCTTAACAAGTGGGAGGAAAAAATGCAAACTGTTGTAATTCCTACACCATTCAACTAACTTGCATGCAAATAAATATTCAAATTAAAACTGACAGTCTGCAGTTAACACATCTGCAGCACATCTTGTTCATTTCATTTCAAATCCATGGTATTGGTGCATAGAGCCAAAAATGTAAAAATTGTGTCTTAGGTCCCATTATTTATGGACCTGATTGTATACCATGATAAAAACATTCAGTAATTATTATGGCATGAAAATTTGAAACCATCAGATACTGATTTACTTTAAGGTACAAAGACTAAAGACACTGCTGTTGTTCTAGAGCAGTGGTTCCCAAAGTGGAGGTTGCTTGACGATTTCCGAAAATTAATTAATTTTAATAAACTATTAGAATGAGCCTATTTTATCCATTACCTACTGAAGAACAATATATTAATTAATAGTTAAATTATTAACATGTTAATAATAAACATTAAAAAATAACATGCAAATAAAAAGCCATCAGTCTTTCAATTTTTTTGTGACCCATGGGGTGATTACGTTATATTAAAGACACAGCAATATCGCCAGATGCAGCAGATTTTCAGACACTTATATGACACTCGCACACATTAAAAATAAAAACAAACCACAACTCAACATGGAGGATATTCTCCTTGTGGCGTTCTCCAAAATTAAATGATGAAAAGACTCTTAGGCCTTTTGGTGTGAGTGTGTGTGTGTGTGTGTGTGTGTGTGTGTGTGTGTGTGTGTAAGGTTTATATATTTATACGAGTCACGAGGCACGAGTCACTGGCATTGTTATTTTGGGGGTTGCAGGCTGAAAAGTTTGGGAATCCCTTGCTTCAGAGGTGGGATACGGGTATGTTAGGGACAAAATTGCTGGTATTGGGTAGGTTTAAGCGTGGATTAAGGTGGGTTATATTTGTTTTAAATATAAATACAATTTACAAACATGCATATAAACAATAACTGCATTATACCAAATTATTAAAAAGTACATAATTTATTCCATAAGGATGCATTTAACTACAGTAAAACAATATAACATTTATAAAGTTGCAAGAGGATTGTAAGTAAAATAAATGCTTTAATAAAGTTCTTTTGAACTTTCTACTCATTAGTCAAATAATGTGTTCATACTACATTTTTTGTCAAATAAATGAATTCTTTGTGAGAAAAACAGACCTTTTACTTCTGAACTAGTGTACAAAAAAAACAAGAGAAATTCCCTCAGAATAAGCTTTTCATAAAGAAAGTTATATGGTAATGAATAAGACTTTAGATACCCCGACTGAATTGAACGATCTGATTGGCTCAGAACTGATTCTCAAGAAAAACATTCCTGGATACACAAACAGCAAACATGTGGAGGTCGTAGAACCTGGAATCACACATGAAAATGTATTGAGACACACAATCACAAAAACATACCTTTTTAACAGCAGAGCAGTGAATCTAACAATGAAGCACAGACACTCACCCACCACACCAAACACATTCTTAATGTCAGGAACAAAAATAGCAAGCAGCAGCACAAGAGTGAGGATGAAAAAACAGGAAAGGGTATGAGAGAGCCAAGAGAACTCCCGCTCTCCTCTGCACAACATCAACACTGCTTTACGTGCCTGAGAAAAAAGAAAAAAGAAGGAAACAGACTGCATTTTCCGAATTTTTCATTTGAATATTTTACAGTCTGGGGTTTGACTTACTGGGAAGTGAATGAGCGGCACAGTAAGCAGGACAGCCAATAAAATTGCGAGGCGAACTGACATCACCAAAATATCCAGAGGAAGATAGGTGTTGTATGCTAACAACAGCTCTGAGCCAACATGTGCTGTGGGTGAAGAGGGTTTTAATGAATCACTCCTGTTGCCTTCATCATTTACAATTTCATCCAAAAGTTAACAAAGTATTTATTCAATTTTCCAGGGATCACCCTTGAGATCTTCATTTTGAGTTTAGATGCTCAAACCAAGCCCATGTCACGCAGATAATAATTGGATATTTGATTATTTATTGTCACTTCATGGCTATTTAAAGAGAAGAAATATAATATAAATAGGAATATATTAAATAATAACAACTTTATACATCAATAAAAGACAATACAAAAAATGATTAAAATGGTTAAAAACTTATTTTTTTAACTTCAATATATAATAAATAACTTAAAATTATTCCTGAATTATAACAGACTTTTGAAAACAAAGTAATGAAATCAAAGTGTCTTCGTATAATATGCTTGTCTAGTAGTTTTTAAAAATGTCTAGTAGTTTTTAAAAATGTGTTGTATGAAGAGGGAGGGTTGGCAGTGGTTACATGTTGATGGTGAACAGTTCATCAATAGACCTAGTAAACCTAGATTGAAAAATTTGGCATCTGTATTTACATTTACATTTAGTCATTTAGCAGAGGCTTTTATCCAAAGCGACTTACAAATGAGGAAAAGGAAGCAATTAACACAACTATAAGAGCAACAATGAATAAGTGCTATAGGCAAGTTTCAGGTATGTAAAGTCTAAGAAGGAAAGCATTAGTAATTTATTTTTTTTTGAGTACAGTAAGTGGTATAGCCAGAGAGGCAATTGCAGATTAGGAAGTGAAGTGGAGAATAAATAGTTGAGTTTTTAGTCGTTTCTTGAAGACAGCGAGTGACTCTGCCGTTCTGATGCAGTTAGGGAGATCATTCCACCAACTGGGCAGATTGAATGCGAGAGTTCGGGAAAGTGATTTCTTCCCTCTTTGGGATGGAACCACGAGGCGACGTTCATTCACTGAACGCAAGTTTCTGGAGGGCACATAAATCTGCAGAAGTGAGAGCAGATAAGAAAGAGCAAAGCCAGAAGTCGCTTTGTAGGCAAACATCAGAGCTTTGAATTTGATGCGAGCAGCAACTGGCAGCCAGTGCAAACGGATGAGCAGCGGAGTGACATGTGCTCTTTTAGGTTCATTAAAGACCACTCGTGCTGCTGCGTTCTGGAGCAGCTGAAGAGGCTTGATAGAGTTAGCTGGCAGCCCCACTAGTAGAGAGTTGCAGTAATCCAATCTGGAGAGAACAAGAGCTTGAACAAGGAGTTGAGCTGCATGTTCAAATAATAAGGGTCGGACTTTTCTGAAGTTATAGAGTGTGAATCTGCACGATCGAGCAGTTCTAGAAATGTGGTCAGAGAAGTTTAGTTGGTCATCAATCGTTACTCCAAGGCTTTTCACCATTTTGGATGCTGTAATGGTTGCCCCATTTATCTGGGTTGAAAAGTTATGGTGTAGAGTCGGGTTGGCAGAAACTACAAGCATTTCCGTTTTCGCGAGGTTAAGCTGAAGATGATGATCTTTCATCCAGTGTGAAATGTCTGACAGGCAGGCTGAGATGCGAGTTGGAACCGAGGGATCATCAGGATGAAAAGAGAGGTATAGCTGGGTATCATCAGCATAGCAGTGGTAGGAAAATCCATGTTTCTGGATGACTGGTCCTAGAGATGTCGTGTAGATAGAGAAGTGGCCCAAGAACAGAGCCTTGAGGTACCCCAGTGTTTAGATGCTGTAGGTTGGACACCTCTCCCTTCCAAGACGCCCTGAATGACCTGTCAGAGAGGTAAGATCTGAACCATTGTATAACAGTGCCCGCAACGCCCAGTGACTCAAGCGTAGATACCAGGATCTGGTGCTTTACAGTGTCATAAAGCTGACAAATCCAGCAAGATGAGGACTGATGATTTAGAGTCTGCTTTAGCCTGTCTGAGATCCTCCACGACCGAGAGCAGGGCAGTCTCAGTTGAATGGCCTTTCTTAAAACCAGATTGCATGTTGTCCATGAGGTTGTTTCGAGTAAGAAAGTCCAGGACTTGATTGAACTCTACTTTCTCCAGAATCTTAGCCATGAATGGAAGCAGGGATACCGGTCTGTAGTTTTCAAGTAGCGTTTGGTCCAGGTTGGGTTTCTTTAGCAGTGGGGTTACCCTAGCCTGCTTAAATGAAGTGGGGAATAAACCAGAGTCAAGAGATGTGTTAATTATGTGAGTCAGTGTTGGTATGACTGCAGGAGAGATGGCTTGCAAGAGATGAGAGGGAATGGAATCAAGTGGACAGGTGGCTGCATGGCTAGAGAGCACGAGTTTAGACACCTCAGACTCAGAGAGCTGAGAAAAAAAGGTGAGTGTGTGTGGTGTTGGTGGTGTATCTTGCGTGTTTGTTGTAGGTGCAGCAAAAGTATGCAGTTTGGTCTCAGAAATAAAATGTGAATTTTCGTCTTACATTTATGCTTGGGTTGATTTTTTGCGGTTTACTATGTGTGCAATTTCCCACTCCACCTGCATAAGAAGTATACTCTAAACAGCGTTTATTTTGTAAGATTCTTTCATAATTGTTTCCGAATTCTATTTTTCAACAAAGTTATTTCACAAGTACAGATGACACTTATTTCACAAATACAGATGACACTTACATTCAACTTCTGAATTCATGTTTTGAATTATTATTCTTACGTATAGTTATGGACAGATTGATTTAACAATTTGTTAAAGATTCACATTTGTAACAATATAGTATTGCTTTTTTTTATTAAATGTTTATTTTTCAGTAAGCCTTCAATACTAGATAAGGTTCTTTTCCAGTGATTAATTAATTTCGATTAAAAAAAATGAAGCTTAGGCTCAAATGGGAGATTTATAAGCTAACATTATTTGTCAGTGTGACACTAAAACTAAAAAACAATGGCGTCCTTGTGGAATAAAACTACAGGGCTGGAGGAAAACTCTGCAGGAAGATCAATCTCCAAACATTTATCATCTATCATGCATCCTGACCAGACCGGATTAATCCCCAGAAGATTCTCTTTCTTTAAATGCACATTGTCTTCTTAATACAATATATGCCAATCATGCAAAAATGAAAGGGGCATCGATTTGACCTTTGGATGCACAAAAAGCTTTCAACCAAGAAAGTTCAATCTCCAAAAATAAGATTCAAAAGACACAAAAGATCAACTAAAGTTATAAATTGTAATAATTATGATAACAGTGATATTCAGAACACGCCTACTTTATAATAATGACAATGCAGAGGAATAGAGCCACTGTCCATCAGACTTTTAGTTCAAAAACTTAAATGGGGCTTAACATATTTAGACAACAATATTTAAATAAAGCTAAACAAAACGTATACTTCAAGGGCTTTTTTTGTAGCTTGAGAACTGTACTTACAATAAAAGGTGAGGTATCCAAATAGGGCTGAGATCAGATATACCACAAAACTAAGAAAGATGCTGACATTCGTCACTCTCTGCATTCTCCTCTTGGTGGGTCTATAAAAACACACACACGCACGCACGCATGCACACACGCACACAAAAACACACAAAAACACACACAAACACACACAAACACGATGACAACAACAGACTATACAGTTGAGGTCAGAATTATTAGACCTTATGAATTATTAGCCCCCTGTATATTTTCCCCAATATCTTTTAAACGGAGAGAAGATTTTTTTCAGCACATTTCTAAACATACATTAATTCATTCATTCATTCTCTTTTCGGCTTAGTCCCTTTATTAATCAAGGGTCGCCACAGAGGAATGAACTGCCAACTTATCCAGCACGTTTTTACGCAGCGGATACCCTTCCAGCCGCAACCCATCTCTGGAAAACATCCACACACACTCATTCACAACGGACAATTTAGCCTACCCAATTCACCTGTACCGCATGTCTTTGGACTGTGGGGGAAACCAGAGCACAAACACAGGGAGAACATGCAAACTACACACAGAAACGTCATCTGAGCCGAGGGTCAAACCAGCGACCTTCTTGCTGTGAGGCGACAGCACTACCTACTGTGCCACTGCATCGCCATTTATAAATATAATAGTTTTAATAACTCATTTTTAATAACTGATTTCTTTTATCTTTGCCATGATGATAGTAAATGATATTTTTAATAGATTTTTTTAAGATACTAGTATTCAGCTTAAAGTGACATTTAAAGGCTTGACTAGGTTAATTAGGCAAGTTTGGGCAATTAGGCAAGTCATTGAACAGTGGTTTGTTATGTAGACAATTGAAAAAATTAGTTAATAAAATTTACATTAAAAAACTTAACTGCTTTTTTTCTAGCCAAAATAAAAGAAATAAGATTTCCTTCAGAGGAAAAAATTATAGGAAATACTGTGTAGGATTCTTTGCTCTGTTAAGCATTATTTAGGAAATATTTATAAAAGAGAAAATATTCACAGCAGGGCTAAAAATTCTGACTTCAACTATATATGTGGCTGATGCCCAAAAATAGGAGCGCTGAGTGAACTGACCTGTGTAACTCACAGTAAATGGGTAAAACTGCTGTATGGCACAGGAAGGAGAAAGCCATTGTTGGGACGGCATACGCGCTCTGTAATGCACACACGCAGTCATTTCTCACCCTCCTGAAGTGTATGTGGTTATGCTATAATATTACAACTAATATTTGGGTTTCTAATAGCCTCGCAAGGCGGTCTTTAAATCAAAATATAGCTCTCGCACTCACCTTACTAGAGATCACAAACAGTTGTGCGGTGCACTCAGAGGTATTTAAGCTCTGGGGATAGAAAAAAAATAACATTAAATTGATGTGAATGTGAAGATTAAAATGAAATCAAGACAGAAACTGAATTCAAAACTGCTCCGATATTTAGATCACAATATCTGTTCAATATCAGCCAGCTGTTTAAGGAATAAAGGTTTTGACATCTGGCTCAAGAGAGTCAAAGGTCTCTTTCCTTATAAAAACAACCCTACTTCCTGTTTCTGAAGGGTGGGATTCAATCTGTCGTGCAAAATGTTAGAGATTTGGGAAAGAAAAAAAAAAAAAACTTTAGCTTTTTTTGTGAGATGAAAGATATGTGGAGGTTCTAAATAGGTTGTGGTAAAGCATGTCATTCAAGAGCTTGTGTTTTGTATAATAAAGGCTCTCGTTTTTGCCAAATATTCCTGAATTGATCCATTCATCCATTTTTTTTTTAATTTAGATGGTCATCAAACCAAAATAATACTCCCTCCGGCTTCCGATACCTCTTCTCTAATCTGACATTGTATTTACTGACAACCTGCACTAAAAGACTGACCAATAGCAAGCCACAACTGTCCAAAGAGCCAACCAATTACTGATAGACAAAATCAAGTCCCACTTGACGCTTTTTCTTGTTTCACAAAGATATACATTTCACATGACTACTTTCCTTTCAAGCCAACTTTCTTCTAGAGTTTTCAGGCAACTGTGTGTGCGTGTGGTTTTTACCAGGCTCAAAGTTGAGTTAATTGGCAGCGGGCAAGGAATGGACCATTTTTTCACCACCACCTGCAAGGGCGATAAAAACATCAACATTGGAAAGAAAGGAGAGAGAGGAACTGAGAAACAACAACTCACCACTACAGTGAAGAACAGCATGAAGAGGAATGCGATACTGCTGGTGTAGCCCAAGAAACCTGATGAGGAAACAGAAACCAATGAAACACATCATTGCAAACACGTACAAAACATAAAAAAAGAACTCACCAATCTTTGGAAGTAGAGCCAATGGTAGTACTATAATTGCAGTAACTAAAATCAATAGTGTAACGCCATTCTCAAACCATTTTCTATGGAGAACATAAAAGAAATGACAAAATATTACAAAATACAGAAGATGCACAAATGATCTATTTTGCTCATTAAGGCTACACCAAAGATACAGTAAATTTAAAAAATTATATTGTGAATAGGGCAACATGATATTGGAAAAATCAGACATTGTGATCTTTCGTTTTGCTGTGATATATATTGTGTTATGAATGTAATTGCACCAGATGATTTAAATAGCTCTGTTTAGAAAGATTTCATTCATTTAGATCGACTGGGCTGTTCAAGTCTTTTTCTACGCACTCCATCATAAAAAAAATTATAATTGCAGGCATATATAAATATGACAGAACAAAAATAAAAGTTATTAAAAGTAATCATTGTATCATTTTTTTAAAGAGCCCATATTATACATGAAATAGGGTCATATCCTGGTTGTAAGGGTCTCCAACAACAGTCTAATATGCATGCAAGGTCAAAAAACACTTTCATGGTCTTATAATCTGCATTTATTTTTACCTAATTATCCCAGCGACTCCTGTATGAATCGTCCAGTGATTCATTTGTTCCCAAACCCCTCCTTAGCGCGGAGCTAATCTGCGCTGATTGGACCGATGACAGTCTGTCGCGATTGGTCGACTGCCTTCAGTCAGAGAGGGAAATGGCCAATAGCTAATCAGCAATTTAAAAAGTAATCACAGTTCATACACGCTCGATAGTGCAGACGTGGATTTTAGCTGCCACACTATGGCGAGTGGATAGTGCCACGGATAACCGAACGAAGGAGACAGTCGTGTACTGGCCATACCACACACACACAAAAACACACACACACCTCCGGATGACAACGCTCCCGCTTCCGCCCGCACCCGCCAGGTTTTAGCCTGAGAACCCGCTCCGTTTTCTGCCCGCCGCGCCCGGTCCCGCTAGAGCGGAGAACACAACCAAAAATCACCCAGTATACAGTCCAGACAGCCAAGCTGTCGTTCGTTCGTTCGCTCGCTCTCTCTCTCTCTCTCATACGCGCGCGTGCGCACTAACACACACACAAGCACCACGCAGACTCTCTCTTTCTAATTCGCATAGCAATATCCGTGATATTGCTAGACAGCCCGCTCCCGTCCCAAATTAAACCCGTTACCGACCGCTCCCGCGATTTATTCGGAAATTTATTCCCGCGGCTGTCCCCGCGCCAGATTTCTGCGGCGCGGGAATAAATTTCCGAATAAATCGCGGGAGCAGAACTCTAGCACGGAGCTCCATAAACAAACAGCACGCGTCGCGTTTTTAACGTGACTTTGCACGCGATAAGATAAAATATCCAGTTAACCTGATACAGTACACGCGGTTACAAGTAACAAATCACAACTAAATACATTTGCAAGCTAGAGTCAACGAGGCAACAACTTTAACCGCACGTACTTACACTTGAGAAATGGAAGAAACCCATCCTGATGTCCATCAGTAAGTTACTGATCCTTCCTTTAACAAACGCAGATGAAGTATTCTTTGTAGCATGTAGCTTCCAGAAGTTTCCAGTAGTTTCCAACTGCTTGGCTATAATGCTGAGGTTTCATCTTTGGGTAGAGACTCAATATATCCATCTGCAATGTGACTTCAATCGACCGGCATGTTTGTGTGCGTGTGTTTGTGGGTGTGTGTGTGTGTGTGTGTCTGGGTTACTGCGTCAGAGGGCGGGGCCTCAGGTTTGAAATCTCCCGGGTTTGCGCGTGCACGTGAAAAACTTTGTTTCGTTCGTACGTCATGGCGAAACACCTAATGAGTCGGTATCAAGGCGACTCGTTTGAAGCACTATGAATCGACTCTTTTATAGATGAATCAACAGTTTTAAACACTGTATTCTTACAGATTTAAGCCTTAGCTGGATACTTCACTTCACTTAGAGCTGTGTTACACACTACATGGAGGGGAATTTTCAAAAACCCATAATATGGGCTCTTTAAATAAAATGTATAAGTATCTTTATCTTATAATCTTAATTTAAAAAACTAACCCTACGATGGGACTACTGCGGATGCACACTCTACGATATCGATGCTCAAAGGATACAATGTTCAGTCCTAACGCCCCATTCACACAGGGCGTCAGCATCAACGCTGCCCATTCACTTTGAATGGGTGACGTCAAGCGTTGCCAAACTGCATTGTGTATCCGTCGGCGCCGCCGCAGGCAAACTCGGGAAAATTTAAACCTGCGGCCCGCCCACTAACACAGCAGCAAATACAAACAGATACTGAAGCCATGAGTCATGAACACGCTGTGCTTACCTGGATATTATTGGAAGTGTGAGGGAAAGTGCTTAAGCAATCTACTTGCTTACAATGGGCGATTCATTTGCTTGTTAAAAGAAAGGATCAGAAAAGACTACTGATGTATGAGAATTGTGAGATGAATGGACAGATAAAACACCAGGGGTGCATGCAAAATAAGGCAATTTTTTAAGGCACAAAGGCATCCTGCTGCACGCTGAAGAGGAGCGCTGGTGATCGCTGTGATTGTTGGGCAAAGCAGAGTACAGGTAAGCTCTAAAAACATATAACATTTCACGCAAGAGGTGCCACAGCAATAATTGCAAATAGAAATTATCTAGAGCAGAGAAGGGAGAAAAGCTCCAAAATGAAAGATAATTAATGAAATCCGACCTGGCCCATGACACATTTCATAAGTGTAAGTAAACGGCTGCCTCCTTGTTTTCTCTAGCTTGCAAATTATGTATTTAATTGTGTTTTGTTACTTGTAACCGCTTGTACTGTATCAGGTTAACTCTTTATATTTTCATATCGCGTCTAATGCCATGATGAAAACTTTGCCACTTTGTTAGGGAACAAATAAATCGTTGAACGATTAACATGAGAGTCGCTGGGATAATTAGGTAAAAATAAATTCATACTATAAGACCATGAAAGCGTTTTTTCGACATTGCATGCATATCAGTATTTTGTTGGAGACCCATAAAACCCTAATATGACCCTTTTAATGTATAATAGGGGCTCTTTAACACATTTTAAAAAAATCTATTTCAAATGCATGCTATTATGTTTTACATGTTATTTTGAAGATTTTCCACAAAAATAGGGAAAAATGTGAACTGTTGCTCTGCCAATACTGAACGCAAGACACAAGCAAGCCAAAAAAATAGTGAGAACTGGGAGAATTAATCTTTCACAGGTTGCCGTGTGTGAGATCTCCTGTGGTTCTCTCTTCAAAACAGCTGATCCACTTGCAGAAATGAAGATAAATGACTCCAGTGAAAGGAAAATGTTGTTTTACAGTAAACGTCTAAAGTTTCAAGCGTTTACACTGTGGCCGTGTTGTGATTTTTTCCTCCTCCCAGAGAGATGGAGCAATGGTGTTTGTGTGTGTGTCTGGGTCTGGTCACAGTAATTGTGCTGGTGAAGGGGATCTTGGGAAGGCACGACTCTCGCTGGGTGGAACATATGTGCGAGATTTATGCGAACGGCCCTGTAATGTAAAGCAGCTGTGTGGGGACGGGGCACAGTCCAACCACAGCTCAGAACAGCGGCTAATAAAATAATGACCGTTACATTCTTTTCCCTGCGATACTTTTTCCTGTTCTCTATTTGTGCTTAAAGGCAGAAGAGCGAGAGAAAGAGTGTTCTTCTGCCAGCGCCTGTGTGAAACTGTCCCTTACAATCGCTCTTCCTAAATCATGTTTCCATTTCACCTCTCCATGCGGATTTTCCAGTGGATTCAGACCTAATCAGTTTTAGCATCACTTCTAACTCACTGAATTCAGATGTCAGACTTTCACCTAATTCTTTTAGGTATGTAAATCATATTTGTTCTGATGCAGCATACATCCGACCATTTAAAAAGCTGTAAGATTTATACCTCTTTTTAAAGAGTGCTCTTATGTTCACCAAAGAAGATTTTATTTGATTTAAAAGAGTTACAAGTATAAATGTATAAAAGATTTAGCATTCAATCTTCAGAGTAATGTGGCCATATCACCCTGCAGCTCAAGACCGCTTACTCACTATAGCTAAGCAGGCTTGAGCCTGGTCAATACCTGCATGGGAGACCACACAGAAAAACTTGGTTGCTGCTGGAAGTGGAATTAGTGAGGCCAGCAGGGAGCACTCAACCTGTGGTCTGTGTGAGTCCTAATGTCCCAATAAAGTGAAGGGGACACTATACTGTCAGTGGGCGCTGTCTTTCTAATGAGATGTTAAACCATTAAACTTTCTAGCCTCCCAATCGTCCCCATCCACTGAATTGGCTGTATCACTCTCTCTACACTCCACCTATAATTGGTGTGTGGTGAGCGCGCTGGCGCTGTTGTCCAGTGGCTGAGGTCGCATCATCCAAGTGGATGCTGCACACTGGTGGTGGTGTGGAGAGACCCAACATTAATTTTAGTAAAAACATGCACTCGTTTACCATATTAACTTAAATATATGTACACGACACATATAGGGCCTGTGTTTCTTTTGCAAATATTTTAGAGAGCATTCCATATTCTATTCTAAATAAACACAAAATCAGTTACAAAAGCTAACACATATTCTAATATCATATATATAAATAAAGAAATCAATAAATAAATAAATAAAAAGGCTATTTATTAAGAAATTAAATTTTAGATTTATTCGGAAATGAAAAAATCCTACTTTAATAATAGTATTATTAGTATTAATAATGATGATTATTATTATTAATATTAAGTAGGACATTATTTATTTATTTACATTTTTTAAGTCTGCTTTTACAATTTGACACATGCAAATCACTGCAGAAATGTTCTAACCAACAGGCCCATATCATATACAGTACAAATACTTAATAAATAATCTACTATAAACGAAAGCACATGTTTTCGCAAGCTTTGGAGACATAAACATAACACAACATAAATTCTGCTTTTAAATAATAGGTCACCTATAGCTTTCGTCATGAGTCATGGCTGTGTTCAAAATGACATCAATGTTTTCAAAGTGCACAGTGAAGGGAGCACAATTGTAAACATGAAGATCGCTAAAACTGAACTGTAAAAATTCTTTGAAAGCACATTACACCTTTTAAAAAAATAAATCCAAGTTTGTTACGAACTATGTTTGTAACGATGGATCTTGCGACCTTAGTTGGCCAACGATGGTTTTCAGAAACGCACCCCTGATCGGCTATTTCAGTCAGAAATAAGGACACTGTAAAACACTACATTGCACATTACATGCGCTATGAACCATATTTAGTTACCCAGAAGTCTCAGAGTCAGTGCTCATGAAGCCAATGATGGCAGCAGGCAATTCAGTCTTCAAGATGAACAAGTAGCTGGACATGGCTAAAGAAAGAGAACACATTATATAGACACACTATATAACACCACATGCACACACTGTCATGATGCACAAGCAAGTACACATAAAATCCACATCAATCCACTCTGATAAACCAAACCATTCTACAAACAAAGGTTATTTACACCTAGCAGTATAAAGAAGCGTTTTTGTCATCCCAACTAGCATACAAGTAAAAACAGAGGGTTGAGTAGAATTAATTACTTCCATACTTTAATTACCACAGTTCACACTCTCCAACTACTGGACTAATTCAGAAACAATGCAGGATGTTTTGCTAAAGCAAGTTAGACAAACAGGATTTAAACTGTCTTATGAAATTGTAAGTTTGATTTGAAGGTGAATAAATGTTAAAAGCACAAACGTTTTTAAGGTCATTTTGTGGCTATCAGAGCTTTATTTTGTCAATATTACCTAAAGAAATTTAATCTGAAAAGATCGAGTCATATAAACAACATACACTCTCCTCAAAGAATGCATCAAAGTGATCAAAAGTGCAAATAAGAGGCCATAAAAAGACAGTCTTCCTCATCTACTTGTGTCCAATAAACTGAAATGCTTCAGATGTAAACAGGGCATATTTTACACACTAACATGCTAACATCCAAAACTGCATAATCCTACACAAACATACAAATGATTCACACACAGCTGATGGCACAAAAGCCTTACATCCTGACTTCAACTCACATAAACACATGGCTTCTGCTGTTCTGAAGAGGTTTATTGCTACTAATCACCACATAGCATGCAGAATACTCACTGTTCACAGTGAGCAAAGCAGAGAAAAAAAACAGACAGAAAGAGAAGAGACAGATTTTCTTATTTGTCATTTTTTAGCACTGCCAATATTTAAATTATAGCAATCTATGCTTCTTTGGCAATACATACATAAATATTATATAGATATATAAATATAAGCAATACATGCCTCTAAAATTGAGAGAAAGTGAATGAGAGGAGACACTGCATCAGGGAATCACATTAGAAAAGTGCATTTTAGTAGGTTAGAAGTAGTATATGTGCCCTTGTTGGAATGTTGGAAACCTGTAACCATTTACATGTCTAGCAGAGAGTGGGGAAGAATCGGAATAGAACCTTGAGGTGGGAATTGAACTCGAGTCGCCGTGAATACCGGAGTGCCACCATTGGCGCCAACGAGTGAGCAAATCTTGACCAAATTTTTATTTTTGGGTGTATTATTCTTTTGATTTACTACTATGAACTTTTTTCTGTAGAAAGATGTTGTAATGTTCCACTAAGTGTCCTGGCCTAATGAAAGGATTTGCAACTTTTTTTCTGAGAGTGCTTGTAGTAATTTTAAAGGAGAGCTTATGGTTTAAAAGTGAAGTAACATAACTTTAACCGTATAGACAGTTAATAACATATGAAAGTGAAACACTTACCGCCTATGTTCTGAATAAGAATAGTACACGCCACCAGAATCTGCACAAAACAATTCAAAAAGAAGAGTAACTAGAAGCATTTCACTTTCGCCATCATGAATTCTGTTATGATGAGTATTTGATTAGATAATGACCACTGTATTTATATAACAAAACATTGCAGCACAGAATAACTGTAGAAAATTTTTAGACAAAAGGTATATCTGTGATATTAACCAACCTTGCCAGGTCTGTTGAAGGCTTTTTCACCAAGAGCTTCATAGGAGTTGATCCCTAACACACATAAACATACATTAGTGAGGCCTGGTGTCTTTACAATGTACAATAAGGAAAGTCATTTCACAGAAACTGTCAAGATGCATGTCAAGATCTTGGACCTAATGTCCAGCATGTGATGAGTTACAGTATAATTTTTTCGAGCAAACAGGAGTGAGATTACCTGTCTTGTCACAGAGGAGCAGCAGGAGATGGATAGAGTAAGCAGCCAAACTGGCAACCATCAGCAGGAGAATACTGTGAAAAACACACACAGGATTGAAAAAACACCTTATCTTCAAGCTCAAAGTTTTGTTCTGAGAAAGGGCTGCACAATATATTACAAATGGAACATTATCTCCATAATAGAATACATTTAAAAATTACTTTTGCTGCTTGTTTAAACTACAGTTCTTTAAAATTTTAAAACAACACAATTCTCACGTTTTTTGGGGAGAACTTGATAGTTTTTTATGTTTATTCTTAAATTTGTGATAACAATTTGTGTTGGGATATCATGAAGCAATTGTGTGGAACCCTATTCTTTTTTAACAGTGTATGCAATCTACATAATCGCAGACATGTGTGATAAAATACATATCTAAATTTGACTAATCAGATGAGGTCTTGCTATCTTTATCCCCACCTCCCCAGTAGTTACTGTTCTGCTATTGTCTAGAGCGGCCCAAAGGGGAACCCAGAGCTGAAAATAAATACAAATGGCAGGAGTTAAGACAAGAGTCGGAAATGACAAAGAGAGCAAAGAATCGCAATACTCGCAAACATTCATTCATTCATTTTCTTTTCAGCTTAGTCCCTTTATTAATCTGGAGTCGCCACAATGGAAAGAACTGCCAACTTATCCAGCATATGTTTTACGCAGCAGAAGCCCTTTCAGCTGAACCCATCACTGGGAAACACCCACACACTCTCATTCACACACATACACTACGGACAATTTTAGCTTACCCAATTCACCTATAGTGCATGTCTGGATTAGTGGGGGAAACCGGAGCGTTCGGAGGAAACCCACACCAACACGAGGAGAACATGCAAACTCCACACAGAAACGCCAACTGACCCAGCCAAGGCTCAAACCAGCAGGTAGTGCGACAGCACAGCACTACCTACTGCGCCACCACGTCACCCTACTCAAGAACAATAATCACATATTTCTTCAGGATTGTGCTGCCCTATTCTGAAGTTATTTTTAAAAGCATGCGAATCATAATTGCATAGAACAATGTCAGCTCATTCCAGAAATTGCAGTTACAAAGATGCATGTAAAAGTCTTACAGTTTCATCCTTGTGCACAAAAGAATATTAATAGCCTAGCCTTGTTTACTGAAAGTTCATTACTGTAGCAATACTTTTTTATGTTAAATTGGTATAATTTAGCTTTTTTTAAACAAAATTGTAATATGACTTTAGATGTCCCTTTGGTTTGGATTGTTCCAAATCATTTATTATACCATGTCTCAAATTACCCTTTTAAGGCTGAAAAAAAAAACTTCCCATTTTCATGTCTTGCATACTCTGGCAACAACCAACAAAACATCTGCATGTGTTGTAAAGCCTTGTCAGCACAAATCTCTGTTATTAATTTTTCTGAGTGCGTACACAGAAGTGTACACAGAAAGCGGCAGTCAGACTGCATGTCATGTGAGTGTTAAATTAAGTTCCCCTTTATGTCAACTGTTCAATACACGTTTATGTCAAAAGCACACAAAAACACATTTTCATAACATTAGTTGTGTTGTAGGTTAAACTGTAAGAGAAGAAATGACATGTACATCAGTATATTAGATCTGTGAATCTGTTTCTTGGACGTCAAGACAACATATTACTAACTCATTCAGGCATTGACTACCTTGGGTAGGATGTTTTTTATTATTATTAGGGCTAATGTAATGTGTATATTTCCTAAAGAAAACTTTGAACTATTAATGAGGCATTAAAGGGAGTTCAGGAGTGATATAAAGAATAACTGACTTTGGAGTGGAGTTTGATCTTTGCAGAATTTGTTTTGTTTTTTGTGCTCAAACAGCAAAACTAGTCTAAGTACTAAAAGCTGAAGCTGTAGAAAGAATAATAAGATAATAATAAGACACCTTTAAAAAGAAAATAAATCAATTAACAGTATGTCTCAAATGGTATTCATTCAGCTGAAGTGCATCTGGTAAACTGTTTGTGTACCTGAACCCGACGGTGCCCGTATTGGCCATGGCATACGAGAGACCCAGGATGCCACTGCCCATGATGGCATTCATCAGATTAAAGGCAGAAGACATGAAGGATGAACCTCTAGTCTGAACACCCTATGAGGAAGATAAATGGTGACATGACTAGCTTACACATTAGCAAACTGCAAACATAAGAGCAAAACATATCCTAGACTACCCTTGGACAAGAGGGAAAGCATGCACATTACTGCGAATGCCGTTACGGTCTGCTTACACATGGAGTTGCTGAAAGCTCAAAGGCAAGCAAATTCTTTGCAAAACCACAATAAAATTGCGTAAGATCAGCATGTGATGGTGTGAAAATGACTACAATGCACAAGGAAGCAGATGACATCTAAAATACACACACATTTCTGTTTAACAATTTGTAAAGCCGCTAAGGCACTGAGGTCTTTTTTTTTAAACTCTATGATAAACAGATATAAAAAATCTTGTTACATAAATTATACTTTGGTTAAATCACAATTAGAACATAAAAAGAAGATATTTTGGAATTATACATTTCTTTAATTAGGAATGGCAAACGGGTTGACAACCTAAGGTCAACCACGATTCTTTAAAAAACCCTATTTTGTCAAACTTATTTCGAATAATGTAATAAATACATCAAATGCAAAACAGAGATCTTTTTTATATATTTAAATACGTGCTCATTCAGATTGTGAATAAGATGTGTGCAAGTATTTAAAATATTTGAGTGTAAAAATATACTAATACTAAGCAATATAAATATGATATATGGACGTATAAGTAAAAATATAGCTAAAAATCTTAACATATGTACATATTTACAACTCTAATGGTTTTGATAATAAATGTAATTGACCATTTCTGCATTATCTTGAGATTTATGCTGCTGCATACATACACGCGATTTACATTCTATATAAGTGAAAAACAAACATGACCTTGCGATTTGCATATACTCCATCAGAAACGTGTACATATACATAAATAAATAAATACATACATACATACATACATACATGCATACATACATTTGTATATGTGTGTGTTTGTGTGTGTGTGTGTGTGTGTGTGTGTGTATACACACACACACACACACACACACACACACACACACACACATATATATATATATATATATATATATATATATATATATATATATATATATATATATACACATATATATACATATATATATATATACACACATATATATACACACACACACACATACATATATATATATATATATATATATATATATATATATATATATATATATATATATATATATACACATATATACATACATACATACATACATACATACATACATACACACATATATACATACATACATACATACACTTGGTACCTCATAATTTCTTCTCATAACTTCTCTTGCGATAGAAAGAGACTTCCATCTAACGTTATACACAATAATCCTAAAGACTACTTCTAAATAGTTTGTTATTTAGAGGACGGCTTAACCTCGTTCTTTAGTCATCATTTAGACATGTTAGACATGGACACGGTTCTATTTGTTGTTCTACAATATTTATTTATGAATGTCAGTGTTATAGGGAAATGACAGGTTTGTGGTTTACCTGCGGTAACAGCGGTGTTCTCTCTTCATCTTCTCCGATGGGCTCATACTCGCTCACCGTCTGTATGCTGTGGTTTGCGCCGTTTCTCCCCATGTCCCACCGTGTAGTGTTTCTTTATTCCCTACTGAACCGACAAAAGGCGCAACGCTCGCGCTCAGGTACTACCGGAGCCGTCAGTACATTTCTCTGGTTCCCCAAACCACCGGCTCTAGCAAACGTAAACAGCCATTCACGTGATTCTCGACGGTCAATTTATATTTTCCGTCACAGACCCAGGTCGCATAGAAATGACGTAGGATAAACGCGTGTTCACATGGCAGCAGTGTGGAGAAGGTGAGCTGTGGCAGTTTGTTTTTAATATAAGGATTAGGGTAACGTTATATGTTTTTATGTGCGTTCGTTGAATAACGCAAATGAAGCTCTGAGGTTATAAGTCATTCTGTAGGATGTCACTAGGCGTAGAAAACAGATTGCTGTGCATCCATGTACACTAAATTTGGTAGGCGACGTTACTTCCAGGATTTCGCTGGACATTTTTAAATGGTTTTTACGAACTAACATTTATGATTCTGCGGCAATATTTGTGTGTAACTTATGTGTTGCTTAACAGCAAAGATAAACAAAAAACATTGTTAAGGAAAGTATATTACTTTTTTATCTAAAATAGAGTATTGGGCTTCACCTTTTACATAAAAGCAAGTAAAAGAAACGGTTGAAAACTCAACAAGTAGTGTACACTAGCAAATCAATTAGCATTAGAAAAGAAAATCTTGCTGAATTTTTTTAGCATGTGAGAGCACTGCATTGTGTTTCCCAATACTATTAAAAATGCAATGTTTTTATTATAAAATAAGCATTTAATTCTCTTACTAATAACTGATTACTGAGTGATTTAGGCAGTGCTCAACAATAAGGACTGCCCAATGGCCCAGGGCCAGCGTGCAAGATAGTAGACATGATCATTACTGGCCCGATCAGGCGACTTTGTCAATTGCATGCAAAAACAGTCTTCGAAAAGTCTTCTGTAAAGTTGTAAACACCATATTGCTTTTCGGTTCCTCTTATGTGATTGGATGTTGTGAGCATGTTATTTTTTTTTGGTAACCTGATAACAACAAGTGCAGCAAAGAGGCGGCAACTTCAAATTATGAGGCTAAAAGAAAATGTGTTTTTTAACATCTTGGAAGCAGACATTTATATTGGTACAACACAACAACAAAAAATTAAGTGATGTTTTCCACTGTTTGCCGTCAGTTTGGCAAGTGAGCCACCATTTTTAAAATAATTTAGAACTGCAATAAAGAACATGCACATTTTCCATACTGCTTTTTGTTTGCATAACACTTAGAATTTTGCTCATTTCACATTTATTAAAATTTTTTAAATATTTAAATTCTGGATTTGCAGATGCTATTTTTGACACACTATTTAAAATATATGGCTAAGAAATAGCTATGAACTTCTTTTTTTCAGGCCAGTAGAAAAAATCTTTAACGCTGGATTTAGGGCAACTAATTATATACATTTTATGCAAGCTATGTGCTACACTTTTGTTAAAATAAAATAATTTATTTTTAGCATCATAAATGGCAAGATGGCTGTTTGTGCATCCAAGTAAAACTTTACTAATTCTTTTATATTCTCACTATATATCATTCGGTCCATGGACTGTTGTATGGGGGTTTCATGGTGTTTGGCTATTTGAACACAAAGGCTGTAGCATGTAAACAGACTGATGGTTTTCAGTGGTTCACTGACTGGGAGTGACAGATGCATAGATAAAGTAACTACGAGTTTAGCGATTGATTTAACGCACACAGCCTGGTGGACTTTGGCTAAATGTACAGGTAGCAATGCATCCACAGCTGCTTAAAATCTGCAGGACATCTAAGGCAATTTTAAAAATTCTGAACTTTTTTCCTCAATAAATTCTAGGTACACAGGCCATAACTCCATCTCTCTCTTTTTCACCAACAGATCTGCCAGACTTTTCATCCTCCTGCAGAGACATCACAGTTGTACATTTACATCTCAGAATTTAAACCATTTTATGAGGTCTCAGAAAGTCATGACTGACCAATCACAGACCGATCTGGGCCTCTTCAAGCCCCCTTCCACTGTACGGGGCATGACAGAACTGGACCGCTCTGCTTTCAATCAGACAGTGAGCGTTCCCGCCATACGGTTACCAACCAACATTCTCAACAAAGCAGTGAAAAGTTTGAAGAAAGTGGCATTACAGAGGCCAGGACTCAAGCGTGTTGTGGAGGAACACAGTGAAGATGGAAATGCAGACTGTGGTAATATTGAACATCGGCTGCTGTTATTGGACCCAAACAGCATTACATCTTCAGACTCGTTTGGCAGTGATGAGGCAGAAGCTCTGAAAGCTTATAGCGTGCCTCAGGAGATCCAGAGCTATGAACTGAAACTCACCTATGAGAACTTTAAAAGCGAAGAGATTTTGCGAGCTGTTCTTCCTGAAGGACAGGGTGTGACATCAGGATTTAGCAGAGTGGGCCACATTGCCCATATGAACCTGAGAGAACATCAGCTACCCTACAGAAAACTGATCGGTGAGACAATATATAAACCAACAAATCACCTCATTAAGAAAACAAATCTGTCATTTAGTAAAGTTTCACAAACTAGTTTCGAAAGGAGCACATGAGATGATTGATCATGGCTGGTCTGCCATCTGTTATCATTAGGAACTCAATCAGATTATTCCAAACCTACTATAAACAGCCTGTTTAGAATAACTCCCTTATCTTCATTTTCCGAAGAATCACCCCATCCACCCCATCTTACCTCTTTACTCCTTTCCAGGAGGAGCTCTCGAGAACTACCTGATCTTGTACCTCCTTGCATGCTTTTCGACCAGGCGGGAACCCTGGGCTCATCCGTGCTCTGGGTTCTCTCCCAGGACAGCATGCCAAACCTGCTAATATTATCAAGCAATATCTAAGTGTGAACTCTTGAAAGGAAAAAAGGAAGTTGTGGCATGTTGCCAAATATGGTGACCCCTACTCAGAAGTGTTAAATGCAGAGCAAAAATTCTGAGTGCACATGCACACACACTGTGAATACACACCAGAAGCAGTGGGCAGCTAGTTTGGTGCCTTGCTCATAGGAGTCACCCCAGCAGTGGTATTGTGGGTGGTGAGCATGCTGTTTGATCACTCCCACCACCAACAGTCCCTGCTGGTGCCACGACTAGAACCTGTAACCTTTGAATCACAAGTCCAACTTTCAAAACTATATGCATTTTGTTTATTGTGGAGCAAAAAAACATATTTTGCTAAATGAAAGCTCAGCAGGGCCATTATTAATTGTTTTTAGCTCAAATGCTGTACAAATATATATTTAGTCAAATACAGATTTGGAATGGTGTTGGTTTACAATTATTTATATACTATATCTTTTAACAGTTAATTATTTTTTTTAATTGAATTTTGTTATTTAAAAATAAAAACATGAAATTTCTGGCCAAAGTAAAAATTTGGTGAGGTTTTGTTTATCCATCATCAACAGAAATCAGCCCAAACTAAAAAACCTGATCTACCATAAAACAGTTAACATAGAAAAATTACTATTGATAACCCAACCCAAGCGTCCACACAGCTGACTCATAAACTTTAACAGTTAAATGCGTGTTACTGTATGTGCATTAAATAGATGATGAACAGTCAAACTCTTAAGAAGCTCTAAATAAAGCTTCAATGTTATTTTTCAACTTTTCATTTTGGCCTAAACCAGGGGTCCAAACTCGGTCCTGGAGAGTTTATCTCCAACTTGCTTCAACACACCTGCCAGGAAGTTTCTTTTATATCTAGTAAGAGCTTGATTACCTGGTTCAGGTGTGTTTGATTAGGGTTGGAGCTAAACTCTCCAGGACACCAGCCCTCCAGGACTGAGTTTGGACATCTCTGGCCTAAAATATTTAGTGGTAAATGTTCTAGTGCACAGGTGTCAAACTAGGTTCCTGGAGGGCCACAGCTCTGCACAGTTTAGTTCCAACCCTAATTACACACACCTGATCAAACCAATTGAGTCCTTCAGGCTTGTTTGAAACCTACAGATGATGCTGCAGTCACATTTGAGTTTGAGCTTGCGGAAAAGCGGCGGGATTAGAAATAAAATAAAAAAATTGAAAAAGTGAGCGATTGGTCCAAGTTTTAAATTTCTGTCCTGAGAAGTCATGTTTTGATCCTCGGTTTGTCTCACGCAATCATGTAATGCGATTTCGCAGGTTAGAGTCCACCAAGCTTGAACGTTCTAACGCAGCTAAATCCGAAACTTGAAAAAAAATCTGATGCATTTGCGTGCGTGTGAATGGAAGTCTAAGGGGAGAAAAGTGCAGTGTGACCGCAGCTTTAATGTGTTGAATAGGCATGGGCCAGTATATAATTTTGATGGTATGATAAAATTGGATAAAAATATCACAGTTTACAGTATGGTGGTTACTGCTCTAATATTTTTTTTTTAAATGTCTGGGTAAAAAAAAACTTTTTTCCCCTTTAAACACAATATATTTTATTTTGAGAAACATTTAAGATATTTTGGAGCAATAAACATGTCAGGCTGAATATTTCAAATGAATCATTGACTTCTGCGGTCTTCATTAGTTTCAAAAACACAGATTTCATTACAATTTATTACAACATCTTTGATACTGTTGTCCTAACCTTGACTTTTCCAAACCAAAGTATACCTTGAAAAGGGTTATCGTCCCATGTCTAGTGTTGAAACTAAACTATGCAGGGCTGCGGTCCTCCAGGAACTCTAGGAGTTTGACACCCCTGTTTTAATGTATTTTAATTCCAGTCCTTCATCTTTCAGTTTGTTTTTGCTTGATTCGATTTTGTTCCAGGTCAAGTGATCATAGATAAAAACCCTGGCATCACCTGTGTGGTCAACAAAACCAACACCATTGACTCCACATACAGGAACTTCCAAATGGAGGTTTTGGCTGGAGAGAGTAACATGGTGGCAAAGGTTAGTTCACGTCACACATGGAATTAACCTAAATATTAATTAATAAATACACATCCGTGTATAATTAAAGTTTTTCCTCTTTCAGGTACGTGAAAATGGGGTATTATACGAGTTTGATTTCTCTCGTGTGTACTGGAACCCTCGACTGAGCACCGAACACGAGCGTATAGTTTCCCTCCTTCATCGAGGTGATACTGTAGTGGATGTTTTCGCGGGAGTCGGTCCGTTTGCCATCCCAGCAGCTCGTCGAGGCTGTGCGGTCCTCGCTAACGACTTAAACCCAGAGTCCTTTCGTTGGCTCCAGCACAATGCAAAGCTCAACAAGGTTGACCAAAAAATAACAACATCTAACTTGGATGGACGGGACTTTATCCGGGGGCCGGTCAGGGAGCGACTGCCTGCTCTAATGAAGGGATCACAAAAGATACATGTGGTGATGAACCTTCCTGCTTTGGCTCTTGAGTTCCTTGATGCTTTCAAGGGTTTACTGGACCCAGAACCAGACCAGAGTCTCTCTAACCTGCCTCAGGTGCACTGTTATGGGTTCTCCAAAGAGAATGATCCTCAGCGGGACGTAGTGGAGCGAGCAGAGGCCAGTTTAAAGACTAATCTGCAAGGACAGTGCTCCGTGCATCTGGTGAGGAACGTGGCACCTAATAAGGAGATGATGTGTGTGAGTTTTACTCTGCCGAGGGGAGTCCTGTACAAAACACACACCCAAGACAGAGGTAAGACACGCTGGTAGAAGATTAAAAGCATGAAGTAAATACAAATACACGGATAAAGTAATAATAAATACTTTTCAGTTCTGTTGGTATCCCAAACTTCAGCTTTTCTTCTTAATTGTGAGGGAAGAAAATATCTAAATTAAAAATTGCAAGTAAAAAAAAACACAATTACCTTTATCATCCTGTGGCAAAAAAAAGCTAAACTAATTTCTTACTATGCCAAATGCAATAATATAAGTGACTACTGTAATTTATAATTGATTTTATTAATTTGCTGAAAAATATTGCTGTAATTCCTGCTGTATTATGTGTTTCTTTCTCCACAGACACTTCAGAAGAGCCATGTCCTAAAAAACAGAAGTGTGAAGATTCAACGAACTGAATAAATTCAGTGTTTGGTTTACTTGCATGTTAATATGGTAAACCTGGAGTGTTTAGTTTTTTTGTTCTTTTAAATTTTTAAAATAAATTATCATTCCTGTTGCATTTCTCTGAGATGGTCATGCAACTAACTCTGACACGAAGAAAATCTTCTTGTGTTTATTTACCAACACCGCATAAAAAAAACAACTTATCAACAAAAATATCTGTACACCTATTATAGCTCACACCCTCTTAACAGAAAAACTGGGATGTTTCTTTCTCAAACTTCCAACTTCTCCCATTGTAAGTCTTTTGAAAGTCAGAACTTTCCATCCTTTTCCAATTTTACAAGGAGAAGAGGCCACTGAAAGCGTCCTGGATGGCCCGATGACAGGCCAGTCCTGATGTATAACCGCCAGCCTGATCCTGCAGAGACGCGGCGCGAACGTGATTCAGAAACCTGCACACACAGAGAAGACCAACAGCTGTAAAACTGAATGCTTTTATACGTTAATCCTCTAGAGGGAGCAGCTCTGTTGCTTTACCCACATGAGTCCATGAATTTCACAGACATGTAGAGGCAAACAAACAAATGTTATATTTTAATATAGAAATAAAATCATACAACAAAAAAAGATGACTGTCATTATAAAAATATATGTCCATACTATTCAATTTTTTTATATTTAATTTTAAAATACATCTTTTGTGCTCACATTTAAATTAATTAAAATGCAATTTCACTGGGTTGTCAAAGCTGAATTTTAACATGATCTTTCAGAAACCGTAGTCATAAAATATTATGAGAAATTATGTAGGCTTCATTATTACAACTAAAAGAAACTGTCCAGTTTTAATGTATTTTAAATTTAATATATCGTAAAATTAGCATCAAACAATTAATTGTAAAAAAATAAAAGTTCATATTTTCAATATATTATACTAATAATTATTATATTACTTATATTATTACATTAAAATAATAATTAATATTATTTGTATACTGTGCATATATTATATATGCATGACTATTGTTTAAAGTATTTGTATATAAATGTTTATAAATATGTTCATAAATATATTTCATTTGTATGTTTTTAGATTTTATGCAGATATTATCTTCGATACAATTAATCACGATTAGTCATTTGACAGCACTAAAAAATTATACAAAATACAGTGATCAAATTTCTGAAATTCTGAAGCACATTATAAAAAATGTATCCTATATTTTTTAAAATCGTTCTAAAAAATTTTTTCCAAATCTATGATTTCTAGAACATTGTGTCTTTACAAGGTCACAATCATTCCAGTTTTTCAAAATGACAGAGATGACAGAATAATGCAGAGTATGCCAGACAATGAGCCCTATAACACAGCAAAACATGTAACACAGTTTTACCTTGAAGCTGAAAACATTAAAATCATGAAATGGCCAGTTTAGAGTCCTAATCTAAACCTGAATGAAAAAAATATCTGGCAAATACAATTATGATGACAATTATGGCTAAAGCATGGTATAGCCACAACTAAATGTCATTCAAATTCTGAATAAAGATTACGTTATTTCTGTCAAAACAAATCAAATGTACCTGTAAATAATATTTTTTGTAACTAAACTAAAAGTATAAATGCAATTGATATAGATAAATAAATTATGTATATATTCATCAGAAACTACTTTTTCCAAATATCATTCCCCAAATTAACAACTACTGGTTACCCTCAAACCATCACAACAAGTGTTAGAGACCTAATGATTGTGGAAGGAACTGTGAGATCCCACACTATCCCAGCATCCAACAAGCTCTCAGGCAGCTGGAGTCCACAGCGGCCATTCATTACGAGAGGACTGAAAATTACATGTAAGCTGATACTACAGTGAGAGGAAGGAAAAGATGGAGAGGGTCAGGTAACATCAGAAACACTTAGGCTCCTCTCAGCTTCACACACACTTTCTAAACAAACAGAGATTACTGCTGCGCTGGAGCATGAGCTAATGCGCACTGAATGCTGCCTTCAGCTCTTCATCATTAGACCATAAACCGCATGCATACTTCCACATGCATACTTCCAGATTCTTTAGCTTTTAGTTCTGCCTCAAGTACAATAATATAAATCTGGTACTGTAATCAAAATAACACAAATCTGAAGAGCAGCAATATCATAAAAATAGAGCTATATAATTTGCATACAATACAAAAAACAACTGCATTAAATTTAGGATTAAAAATTAACATATGTAAAACAAAATAAAATGTCAGTAAAAGCAGGTGACCTTCAGGAAATGCACATTAGACCAAACTGTTGCTGCGTCTCAATTCACATACTATCCATCCTAAATAGTATTCGAAAATAAATATGTATGTTCCAAACAATAGTATGTTGAAAAGAGTATGCCAAAGGTTCCCGGATGGTTAATCATTTCTGGTAAAAATTCGAAGTGTAAAAGCGTCCATATTCTAACCGCTACTATTGCTCACAATGCATTGCAAGTTGGACGTGAATTTGATTAGAACAACTCAGGTAAAAAGTGTAAACAAACTACAAACATGGCGGACACACAAGACTTGAATGACTGTTAATCAATATCTAGCCAACTGGAATATATTTAAACTGTGTTTTCCGTGTTGTATTTCATCAACAATGCACAACAACAATGTAGACTAAACTTATATCAAGATATGTTTGGACATTACCTTCAGAATGCATAATTACTCAATGACCTGAGGAAAATTCTCTGCATGAAAGATTTGTGAATGGGAGATTAACCTGCTGCTGCTTCTCCAGGAAAGTAGTTCATTAAATATAAAAGAAATGTGGATGATGTGCGGATAATTGACAGGACATAACTAAGCAACATGTCCCAAAGCAAGCATTCTATTCAGTTACACACTCAAAAGTATATACTTTTCCTTTACAAAAAGGTACATACTTTTAGGTTGTTGTGTAATTATGTGAATTGGGAAGCAGCTTACATATTATTAGAGCTGATTTATTTCCCATAAACTCTACATAAGGCTTGCAGGACTAATTATATATATATATATATATATATATATATATATATATATATATATATATATATATATATATATATATATATATATATATATATATATATATATACATAATTAGTCTATATATGACATATATGTCTATATGTATGTCTATTAGGGATGGGTCGATAGATGATGTCATTGTCCATCGTTGACGTCATCGCGATCCTCCGATACATCGCTGTATCTGCTCTAACACTGAGATGATAGTAATGATGATGATAATGTGTGTGTGTTCACCATCAGTGCGATTAGTTTCTCATTTAGCCTTTAATACTGAAGTGTGAGTGTGTGTTGGAGAGAGTTTGACTTTCCAAACACTCTGAAGCAGCTGTTGGACAATCTGTCATTTTAACAGGGTCAGTGTCACACACACATTCCTCAAGCAGATCTGATTGCCTGCACTGCCATGCTACACACAAACACAAACACGTATACATGGTTTACAAGGACGTAGGTATAATGTATTTTATACTGTAAAAAATACTTAATATATTGCCCTAGCCCTACCTTTAAACACAACTCTCATATAAAACCTCTGGCAAATTCCGAATGTTAAAAGTCCCCGTTAAGTGTGATTTTTAAAACATTTTGAGTTACACAAGGCATATGATGTCCTCGAAAAACAACTTTGTCATACCAGAGTTATACCCATGTCAATCTACAAATTTGTGTCCCCGTAAACCAAATGAACAAGTATACACATCAAATCACAATACCATAGCGCAAAAATCCTCCTTAGAGGAGTTTGCAGAGCAAGCTCATCTAAACAAGACCAACAATGTCCAAATCCGACATCCACCATAACATGATGCATCATTAAAGGTGACATATTATGCAAATAAGACATGACAAGTATTAAGTAATATAAAATGTGGATCCGGACATCCCAGTAACTTTCTCTGGGAAAAAGAAATCATTTATGAAGATGAGTTTAATGCTGTTTCTGAAGCACGAGTCAATACCACCGCTTCATACTTTATGACTTTGCCCATTTATGACTTTGCCACATGCTAATGCGGAAAAAGTTATTGTTGTATCTAACTGTACCCATGGAGACCAGGGGTCTGCTTTTCGTATGTGGATTACAATTAGCTGGATTTAGATATTGACGATTTGACATGATCCTGGATCGTTTCGTTCTTCAAAACTCATCCGATAGTTGTAGTCATAGCAACAGTTCTGGTAGCTCAAACCTGCTCCTCAGCAGGCTTATTTCATATGAACAGGATTAGATCGGGTCTTTTCATGCAAATACAACACTGAATGTATGTATCAAATGCTAATATGATTGTTATACACTTAGGAAAATAGTAAAATAGTAAAAAAAAAAAAAAGATATATATATATATATATATATATATATATATATATATATATATATATATATATATATATATGCAAACTTATGCAATCTGCACTCTGAAATAAAATTGTCACAAGGTGATTCTCCCCAAGGTTTTCACAGAGAACAGATATAAATATGGACTTTTTAGATACATACGCATACTATGTTAAGGTACCAAGCAGCTTTAGTATTGTTTGTGTATAACAGTGGTCACCAAACTTGTTTCTGGAGGGCCGGTTACCTGCAGATTTTAGCTCCAGCCCTAATCAAACACACCTGAACAATCAAGGTCTTATTAGGTATACTTGAAACACCCAGGCAGGTGTGTTAAGGCAAGTTGGAGCTAAACCCTGCAGGGACACCGGCCCTTCAGGACCGAGATTGGTGACCCTTGGTGTATAATATTAGACATGCACAATATTCGACTGTTTTTTTAAAGGAATAATAATTTATGAAGTCATGCACGTGTTTTGACGGCTAATATGCCAGTGATTTGATGATTCGCAAAAGTTGCAGACTCCTTTACAGATATCAAATTGCTGTTTTGATGCAAAAATTATTGTATTCCTTATGCAGATTAAGACACTTGAATAGGCCTAGGCTACTATAATAAAGAAAATCCTTTTTAAATTGCTAAATACTCTTGACACATGAAAGTGTAAGCAGCCCACAACAAAGGTGGAAAGTTCTTGCGTATCATATTTAACAAATCGTTTACTATGAATTTTATGTAATTTTGCTCACATGG